CCCACATAGAGCTTGCACAACATGAAACACAGAGTAAGAGTTTAAGAGCTTTTGCTGCTAAGTGATAAACAGGACAAAATCATGGGCACCAATAACCTTCTAGTTTTACTAGTTACAACTCAGCTATTTCTGATACAAGGCCTCTCAATTTCAAGGCCTCTCAAGAAGCTAAAATTTTCTTTTAGCTATGCTGACAATATATGTGGCTGCTGAGGAAATAAACCTCTGTAAAACTTGCACTCAGATGTCATATCACAAAAGAAGCTAAATGAGAAATTACAGCTGTTACACCAAACATTTTTAGATTGTAGACCCCAATTCTACATTATAAGATGTATGGAAGCAATTTTATCTGTAGCAATTTTATCGAGGTGACAATTATCCCTGAGGAGTGGTTTTCAAAGCTTTCCTTTGGTAGCAGAAACCTTTTTACGAACCAAAGGCTAAGTGGAATTCTGCTATACAGAAAAAAATGCAGAGCTGATTTCGCTAAAGTAGAGGGAGAAGCCTATAGTTTTGCCTGCTTGGGTCTCCCTCAAGTGCATACCGCCCCTTCCCTATCCCCAGTTCCCAATTGCAGTGGGCCCTAAGGCATCTCCGAGAACCATACAGTGCTGGGAAACACTCATGGAACAATCAGCAAGCTGCCATGAATAGAAAAATACATTAATTTTTAAAACATTTTAAACATCAATATATAACATTAAGACTTACCCATTTCTACTGAAAACTCTTAGCCATGCTTTGATGTTTGGCCCTAACAAACACAAACAAGGTACAGTAGTAAAAGTAGACAAAATAACAGCAAATAAAAATGTTTCCAACACCAACCTAGAAAAAAAAACATTAATTTTTTATAAAGTATTTATTAAAGGAGCACGTATACACACATACATAATTTTTGTGACATCAGTAGATTTAATATAAAAACATTTTCTTATACTTTACTGTGAAAAGCAACGAGTCTTACCAAAATGACTACAAAAAATGCAAGCTATCAAAAAAATCTAGCAAATATCTGGCTCTAATGATAAAGTTCAGAAATGTTAAATACCCTATGCTCATCCTGTCCATTGTAAGAACTGCCCCATTTCTAGATAATTAACTTTCTTCATTACTAGTCTCTGGAACTTTCTCTACAATCAGTGGTTCAACTTCAGCTTATACCAGAGCCACTTAGAAAGCTGGATAAACTAAAGATTGGGAGACCCCACCTCTTGAGTTTCTGACCCAGGCTTGAGAATTTGCATTTTGATAAAATGCCGATGCTGCTGGTTTTAGAATCACACTTCAAGACACTGCTCTAGACTTTCATTCTACTCTAAAATGGGTTAGATAGAAATATCCATTTACCATTACAAAGGTTCTGTGCTCCTTTCTCTAAAACAGAATTACCTGTTAATTTAGTGTGTATATATATATACATACACATGTGGATATACATAACTATGTATAACTATATATAAACTGTATACATAGCTATATTGTGTATACACATAAAAAATATCACTCATTTCACCACGATCATTAATCACTGCTAAAGTTTCCCAAACTCTAATGAACATTATAAGAAATATTCATAAATTTAATTTTCATTAATTTAAAATTGGTCAGTTTTGAACAAGTGTTGAGTTAAATTTTACCTTTAAACTATAAACATTAACTTATTACATACTTAAATACAGGAATCTTGATTTTTCTCAAGAAAACAAACTCTTTAAGTACTTCAGAATCACATTTACTAGGAACTGATATGCTAATTATAACTAACTTATCCGTTATCACTATAGTAAGTTCCCTTAAAGGTTTTGAGGGACATAACATTTATTGGTAAAGTAGAATTTCTCACCCACCTCCTCCCCAAATGCAATTTGGTAACAGAAGGCTAGGTAATAGAAACATTTGATGAATTTAGTTATTCCACTGTTTTATAAGAGAATAACACTGGTAAGGAAGGGAAATGATGTCAGTATCTCTCCATAATCCATTGATCAAACACACCAGTTTTTCTCTAATCACCAACAGTAATAGCCCTTTGTTTAGTAAACATGTGTTTTAAAATATAATTGCCGTAAGGTAGAAATTTCAGACTTACTCTATTAATGGTGCTCCATATAGAACAAAAATTACATGAAAGAAGAAACAAGACATAAGAAAGTAGATACAGCATTTCAAAAACCTGGTTACCTAAAAAAGAAATGAATAATTTAAAGAAATGAATAATTTAAAGACTCAAGAGAATGCCTAAAGGATAGCAATTGCTTCCATTTTATCTATAAACATAACTTATTCCCATGTGTGAAACAGCTGAATGTTCTTTGGACTTGGGTATCCTAAAGTCAGATTACATATCCTGGGCACAGTCAAATGTACAGCCCTCAAAACAGCTTTGTAAAAAAGGCTACCAGGCAAGTATCACCCCCCATATTCCACCCACCCAACCAGCACTAAAGTCAAAAAGCATTTCTGTTTCTATGACATGTATTGAGCTATGTTGTTAATCAGGATTTATGAAAATATTTACCAGTAACAGTCAGCTAGAATACAAGAAAACACAAACACGGCTCTTATTATGTGATGAGACATGAAATATTTGTTATATTATCCACTGAAAGCCTCCTAATTCAATAATTAATATATGGCAAGGATCTATCAAACACTGTGGGCAGTCTTCTAGCAAGCAACGGGCTACTAATTTAAAAAAAAAAATCAGGTTCTCCCTAGTCACTAGTAAATAACCCAATGAGTTCTTGCTTAATGCTTTATATTTCCATTAAAAGAAACACTACCTATATTTAATATCAGTTATCAAGAAATAAGCCTTACCTTGTATGATAATGAACTTCTTTTAGAGGATGCATTTGGTTTCACTACTAAATATAATACTAGATTAACGGCAGTTACAAAAACAGAACAGATGCACAACCACGTCAAGTGTGTTTCCAATATTGAGAAGTTCTCCAAAAAAAAGGATGGAACGAAGATACTTAGAATAATTGAGAATATGCATAAAAGATGGGTATACAGTAGTCTCTTGATATCGGTATCTTTCATGGTGTTTTCTTGAGTAGCTATCTAATGAAAAACAAGAGCATATGCAATAATGACTTTTTCCGTTGTCCTAAATGCTTCAACATCTACAAATAAGTCATGAACAAATGACAATTTTCTATGGGCAATAATGTATTAGTTTCAGAATATAGGAAGATGTATGTGTAAATACACACGTAGACTAATATGGTAGACAGCTCTCAGAGCCGAAAAATGACGAATTTTCTAATTTCTTAAATATTTGTGACTGGTTTCTGCAAAAGGGTCATGTACTAGGACCAATTAAGCGATTTTTTTTTTTTTTTTTTTTTTTTGCCAAAATCAGAGGTGAAAAAACTGCATGGATTAATGACCTACCCCTGTTGGAAATATAACCTATGCATTCTAGAAACCCCATGAATACACTTTGGCTAAATTGTTGGTATTTTTACCATTATAGACCCTTGTCTGACATCACAGTAGTTCATATCTCCTAGCAAATGCCAAGTGACACCAATGCACACTCGAATATTCAAAAGGTGGCCAGCGTAATCAAGAGAGTTCAAAGAATATTATACTAAACTAAGGTATCCCAGTACTCCAGAAATATCAAAATGACAATTTTTGTTACAGGTAACAGATTCCAATTAAAAGTAGAGTATAAATGGAAGGAGAGAAAAAAATTTACTTTCTCTCTGTATATAAAACACATTTTTATATGTAATTTATTTATTTATAAATGACCTAACAGAGAACTTATATATACATATAACTGACTGTTAAATAAAGACCCTATTAATTTAAAATAATAGTCCACATGTTAACCTGTAGTGACTATTCCAGAATATATATATATTTCTACACACACACGGGGGCACTGATGTTGTGCATAACGGCAAGTCCAGGCCATATCCTAACAGCTCTCATTTAATCCACACTCTGAATTTAAAAGGCAAATATTTTACTTAAAAGAAAACAGGCTAAAACAGGTTACGGGACACGTCCAAGCTCGAAAGTGCTAAAGCAATTTCAAACCTAGTCTCTGATATAAATATATACACACTAGGGGTCGAGAAGAGAATGAATGGGAAGAAGGGAGAAGGAAAAGTTTCTCACAGGTCCTATCAGCTGATTGAGAGGCAGGGAGGGGATCCGCAATACATTGCCTCGACATCCCTTCGAAGTTTTTTTCTGGGCCACTCTCAGAATCCCAACTGACATAAGCAGATTCGGCTGTAACATAGTGAGCAGTACCCAAACTGAAATGTTTGCTGAATGAATGAATGAACCAATGAACGAGGCAACAAAGGGACAAAGGAGAATGGGTCAAGTGCCCCTCCTGAGAAACCAGGGCGTTCCCTGGGGTGGGTGGGGGGAGGAGAGAGGCACCGCCCTGGCGTCTGCGGTTTGACCTGGCCAGGTCCGCAAACATTGTGGCGGGAGAAGGCCGTTCTGAACGGCTCCGGAGATTTCGCCGGAATTGTGGGATCTTTACCCGAGCCCCAGAGGGTCGCTCGGAATTCTGCCCAGGCCTCGGCCGGGCAGAGGCAAAGTCAAAAAGTACAGGCGCGAAGACCAGGAAAAAAGGAGATAGACACAGAAAGTCAGAGGGTCGGCCCATCAGGATAGCCCCTGGGTCACGCCAGAAGGGTGGCGCTCGGGCGGGCGCGGGGTCCAGGAGCACAGAGGCTCCCAGCCATTTGGGCACCTGGCGGAGGTTGCTTGCACCCCTCGAGAGGCCCGCGTGCCGGAGCATTCAGCTGAGCTTACCTAGTTCTCCCGCCCGCGGAAGGGAAGAGGAAGCTATTACCTCCCACCATCAGGTGCTCCGCACCGCCCAGATCCTCGCGCAGGCGCACGCCTGTGGGGCGGACACCCAAGGCTGCACAGCCAACCGCAGCAGCGGAGGGGCGGGCAAAGGAAGTAGCCCCGCCTTCCCACTCATTTTATTCTTTCGGCTTTCCAGGTGTAGAATAGGCGGGGCGGAACGCGGAGGGGCCGGAAGTGGATTTTTGTAACCCGGAAGGGGAATCTTTCCCTGGCTTCGTATTAATGTTTTCAAGGCGCCGCCGCTTCTGGGCGTAGGGAAGCGTCTCGGGAGGATGGTGTGCGAAAAATGTGAGTTAAGGGGCCGCATCTGCGGGAGAGGGAGGGTAAGAGAACCTCACTGGAGTTCCCCGGAAACTATTCCCTTTCTTTGTTTTACCTTCGGCCGCAGGTCTCTGGTTCTAGCCCCTGTCCGCCTACCCTTTGACCATTCCTGACCCTCCCCAACGGCTGTGTAGCCCTATGTTTTGCGTTTGGCATGATCTCAATCTTTGCACCTCTTTACTTGTGTTGCTTCCCCACAACCCCGGATCTCATCCCATACAGCTTCTTGACTGGACCCCTCAACTCACAAACCCTCACGATTAGAATGGATCTTAAAAATCAGTCTACATTTGCCAGGTTTAAGCAAATAAAAATACCAACGCCCAGTTAAATTTGAATTTCAAGTAAACAACGAATAATTTTTAGTATAGTATATCCCATACAGTATTTGAGACTTGGTCTTTTTGCTGCTGCTTAGTACTGTAAGTGCTTTGGGACATTCCAGAAGAAGTATTCGTTGTTAATCGGAAATTTAAATTTAATTGGGCATCCCATATTTTATCTAACAACCGTATCTAACCGTATTTTATCTAACAAGTCAGTATCTCATCCAATGAGTTAAGCCTTTTTTCACGAATACCTACAGTATTGAGGCACGGTGGCAGGAGATTCTCACCACCTTCAAATCAGTCTACGTAGATTTCACTGGCTTTTAGAAAAGTCTTTCCTCCCTATAGTTGCCGTCCAGTGATTCTAATGCCAAACCTTGAGATTTCTAGGAGATATCTTATGATTTTTTTTTGACCTCATAAACTGTTTATATGTTTAAAAACAGCTGTCATATTCCCAAGTATTTTTCCTCAGGCTAGACATATCTGGCTCTCCTGTGATAAAGTTTCAAGCCCTCTTATCTTGATTGCTATCAAATTAACAACCCATTTCGTTTATATACCTTGTATAGATAAAAGTTTGAACACACAGACCCCCAAGAGTTTGAATCACAGACCTTAAAAGAATGACCACGGACAAGTTACTTTAATAAATTTTCAGTGTACAGAGAGTAATTTTAGGTTTCTATATTTGGAGCCTGGCATGCATAACCACCCTACACAATGAGACCTCAGTTTATCTTTCCAACTTCATTCTCACTAACCCTTATCTTCTTCACACTTTGGCCAAACCAAACTATGTTGCATGCCATATGTACCCTGAGCTCTCCATGCCATTCTTCAGAATGTGTCCTTTTCCTAGTTTGTCTTCATCCTCTTTCCTCTTCTTTCTCCACAGTCCCATTGTCTCATATGCTTTCTACTGCCTTTCCCACAAAGCTTTCCTGGATTTCCATAACTGAGATTATTTCTTTCTTCATGAAATTTGTCCTAGTATGTTAGCTCTCAATTTATTTTAGATCCTAATTATTATACTTTTTATTTTCTAGCTTATATTTTGGTTGTATGGTTTGTAACTCTTTTTTGGTTTTGAACTCTTTGAAGATCTGTTGAAAGCTGTAGACTCTTACCAGGGTCTATAAAAAAAGGGATCTACAAAAGGTTTGTGTGTAATTTCATATATTTCACATTATCTCCCAAGATGCACCTGTGAAATGCAAGTTAAGGACTTCTGTTAGAGAAATCAGCAAGCTCCTTAAAATTTAGAACTTTATCTAACTCATTGTTTTTTTTTCCCTCTGTATTTTGTACAATGGTATGCCTGGTATAAATGGTTTATAGATGCTCAGTAAATTTTTATGCCATGAATATATTTATCAGCTTTCTTTATCTGATTTGTTTAAAGTATACATGTACAGAGGAAGCTTATTATAAGCCATACTATTATACTACAGATTTTACTAAGAGTCAGTCATCCATTGCTCACAGTTAATATCTTAAGTCTCAGTTCACTAGCCTTGACTTCAGCATTAATAGGCTCTTACTATAATATGACTTGATACCATTGTTAACTGTAGGCACAATGTGGTGAATTTATTAGATGATAAATACTAATTCCCTTTACTTTTACTATCTCGTTATAACAGGTGAAAAGAAACTTGGTACTGTTATCACTCCAGATACATGGAAAGACGGTGCAAGGAATACCACAGGTATTTTTCCTTTTAGAACACAGAAGTTGAATCAGATACTTCCTGTGAATAATGGTTTAGCTTTTACATTGTTTGTAAATTGAAATATGTGTACAAAATATTTTATCTATTAAACATTAAAGAACACTGGATCCCACAACAATTTAATATTTTATTCTATTTAGTCTTCTCGGTTACATCTCAGAGTTCCTATTTTGATAGGCAGGAGATGGCCTAATAATTAAAATAATTTTCAGTGAGTATATCATAGTAATTGATTTGATTCAGCTTAATTACAGTTGGTATTTTATTCCCTCCTCATCTGATTTTTACATTCTTATGCAAATCATTTAAATGTTTTCACCTTCCTAATCATTAAATACAGTGAAAATGTTGTCAAGGGGAAGGAAAAGAAATACTTTCACTGTATTCAAGGTCTATGGCACCAAAGTAGTGGCATCTAGATTTTACAGTACAAAAATTAAATGTAGACTCATTTCTGAAGTCCTACTTTGAGTCTGAGAAATAAATGATTGTGTTTTATCCACATTTTTATTTTTTTCTTAATAAATGTTTTAAGTACTGTTTTAAGACCCTGGCTATTAAGTGAAGATTTTTGAAAATTTTGATAAAGTCTAGTCTATTGGTAGGATATCAAAAAATGAACTTTAAACTAATTGTTAATTGTTATATGTATATATGTGAAATGTGTGGAATTAACTCACTGAAATACATGTATATTTCAATATAGAAAGTGGTGGAAGAAAGCTGAATGAAAATAAAGCTTTGACCTCAAAAAAAGCGAGGTAGGTTTAAGAGCATCTATAAAGCAATGATATATAAAATTACCACTCTTTAATATTACGAGTACTGAAGTGAATTTGGTGTACATCATTCTATTGTGATAAAACATAGAGTTAGGTAGTTCCTAGCATACAAAACCAAGCTATCTGTTACAACCTGCTGGTTTCAACCTGTTCCTCCTCACTGTATCAGTATGTGAAGATATTAGTGCTACTTTATAATTTCACCAGAAATATGACTTTTTTTTTCTAGTTCTTAATTATCTTGCAAATCAGAGGCAACAGGGAAATGTGGAAAGAGTTTTTTTTTGTAAGTTCTGGAGTCAGTTAATATTTTAATTTAGACTCTGTCACTGTCTAGCTCTGTGAGATTACACAAGTTAAACCAGTTTATTAACTTTCTTGAATTTTACTTTTTCATCTGAGAATGGGAGTAAAAATGTCTCCCACCTTAAAAAAAATTATTGACACCATGATTTATTATATTCAGTCTAAAAAATCCCATGAACTCTTCCACCTGCTGCCCCATTTTCTTGTTTCCCTTTAGCAAAAGTTTTCAAAAACCTAATTTAAATACTTTCTCAATGTCCTTAGGTTCCATTCTCTCCTTCAGCCTCTCCAGTCAGGCTTTCATCCCCACCACACCCCTGGAACTGCTCTTATCAAGATCATACATGACCTCTAAAACTGATGGCCACTTCTCTATTCTTACCTCACTTAACTTTTTGACAACTTTTTTTTTTTGCAACCCTTTAGTCTTTTGGCTCTGATACACAACACTCACTGACTATTCCTTCTCAACTACAACTTTTTTTTTTTTTTTGCGACCCTTTAGTCTTTTGGCTCTGATACACGACACTCACTGACTATTCCTTCTCAATCAAGTGCCTCTTGCCTTAATCCTAGACTTTTATAAATTTATAATTTCTCCTCCAGTGACTTTAGTCCAATGGCTTTAAGTTTAAACTGTATGTTAATGACTCCCAAATATGTATTCCCCAGTGCTGACTTCTCTGAGCTCCAGACATATCTGCAGCTGCCTACATGACTTATTCAATTGGATGTCTAACAGGCAACCTCTTTCCTTCAGTATTCTTGTCTTTGCACCACTGTCCAGTCCAGTTGTGTAAGCTTAAAAGCTAGAATTCCTAACTGGTTCCCTCCTCACCTTCACTTCCCACACCTCCCAGCAGATGGCTCTACCACCAAAATATAACCTGAATCCATTTGCTTCTGTGTGTCTCGCTGCTATTACCGTATTCCAAACCACAGTTATTTCTTACTCAGACACTTTAGTAACTTTCTATTTCCCTGTTTCCCCTCTAGTTCCCTATGGTTAAGTCTTATAGTAACCAGAGTAGTCCTTTAAAGGGCATGTAACTCTTTTGCTGAAAATTCTTCATTTGTTTTGTTGTTGTTTTTGTTGTTTTACATTGAATAAAATCCACGCCCCCAACTATATTCTTACAAGGTCCTCCATGATCTGGTCTCTCCCACCTCTCTGACTTCTTTTGTACCAACTCCCGCATCAGCTATGCCAAGCCCATTGGAAGAGGTTTGTGCTTGCTTTTCCCTCTTTCTAGAGCTTACCCCGCAGATCTTACATACCTGGCTCCTTGTTACTTTGGTCTCAGTGGAAATGTCACTTCCTCAGAGAGGGTCCCTAATCAGCTTTAATATATCTTCCCTCCTTTGCCTCATGTCTGCCACAATATCCTGTTTGAATTTTCTCTACAACACCTATTACTCTCTGAAAAGTATGTTTGTTTCATTACTTAGTGTCTGTCATCTCTCACTAGAATGTCAGCTTGATGAGGGCAAAGGCTTTGTCAAGTTCATCTTTGGTATTTAGATCAGGAATAGACACATAGTAGGCACTTAGTATATATTTGCTGAATAAATAAATACCTGTTTCATGACTTCATTCAAAGGATTAGAAATAAAAATAAAACTTTTACTATATATAGTACTTGGCACATAAAATAGCACAATAGACTTCATCTTTTAAGTGACGAGCAGCGTCATACTATGTATTGTTATTGCTGACTGGCTTATTGATGTCTTCTAAGACCATTCAGTTATTATTGACTAAGTTGTTATTTTTATAGGTTGTACAATTTTAGGTTCTTGTAGTTTCTTTATGCTCCCAAACTTATTCTGATATTTTTAAAAAGGAGCTATTACTTTTGGGTTCTCTAAATAGTTCACTTTGGAAACTGACTACTGTATTGCATTGAATCTAAGATACCATCATTTATAAGATACATCATTACTTTAAGAAAGAAAAATCTCTGCCAATTAATTGTTTAATATCTTCAGAGATTTTAAATGTACATCTTAGAATGATAAAATATGGTTTTAAAAGAAGGTAACCTTCAGACATACAGGTCCAAACAAACTGAGCTTATTGTAAAGAAGAATAGCGCCTGTCCTCTTCCGGGGAGTAAAGTGACATTCTCTTGGGTTTGGAAAGATTAACCTTTGAAAATGAGCTGTTTTACTGTACTCCAAGAGAAGAAACTGTTGCTATTCAGTATATGAGTATTGTTAGAAAGTTATTGGAGAAAGTATTTCCTCTAAAGTTATTTTGCACTTCATTCACTATAAGGCGGCATTTTTATTTAGTAGGAACCCTTTTATCCAAAGAAATTGGATAAATTAATTGAAGATGTCAGTTAAATTAGGCAATCATTAAAAAAACCTTACAGCTTATTTTAAAGCACGTATATGTACGTGGATTCGTCAGTCACTTCCTATTGAGACAAAGCCTTTTGTGTATGAATTCTACATCATTCCCTTCACATAAATCATAACTAGAATATATATTTCCAATATCTTTAAAATACAACATGAACTGACAGATGCAAAGTACCAAATCTTCCCGCTTATGATTTTTTCCCAATTTTTAACAGTTGTCTTACCCATACCTAAATCAATGGCAGTTTTAATGATTCACACTTACCTAGTCATCCTAAAGCATTTACTTAGTTTTTAATAGAATCGGTCATTCTTTTCGCACTGATATTTCATCAGTTTTCTTAATTATATTACACAAATAGAGTGACAAATAAAGCTGATGTAAAAGGTTTGGGATTAAGGACAGCTCACTCTTTATAAGCATACAGCTTACGTGGAAGAGGTAGAAGTGCATAGGCATTTTAGAGAGTAGCCAGCTGAAAGAGTGCTATGCCTATCAATTGTAGAGTTTGATAGAAAGAATGAAAAACATGAATTAATCTCATTTGTTGCATAAGTGAGGTTTTTAAGAGTGTTGCTATTATATTATACACTTTATTTTTTTTTAAAAAACCCCTCTAGATTTGATCCATATGGAAAGAATAAGTTCTCCACTTGCAGAATTTGTAAAAGTTCTGTGCACCAACCAGGTTCTCATTATTGCCAGGGCTGTGCCTACAAAAAGGGTAAGTTTAATACCATTTTTCTATTCATATCAAACCTGTTTCATTTGGTACCGATTTGAATAATATAGAAAAAGGAGTAGCCTTTCGTAAATCCTATTGTAGTCAAAAGCTCTTTTTTTCTAAGGCAAAATAGAACTTGTTCATCATTAAAAGTGTATATTTCCTTTTTCTCTTTTCTGAGACTGTTAAATTATGTTTTTTTTGCTTCAGGATTGACTTTAATTAATCAAACTGTCAGTTGGTATTAGATATTTGATTGGTATTATTAGTTGGTATTATAATTTGATTGCTCACATGTTTTCTTTTGTTTTAGGCATCTGTGCAATGTGTGGAAAAAAGGTTTTGGATACCAAAAACTACAAGCAAACGTCTGTCTAGATGTATTGATGAAGTTTCTGGCTTTCTGTATGATTTTGCTTTCTGCTTTAAATTCTCACAGCATATTATAGATGTTCAAGTTACAAAATAACGTTTTAAGACAATTAAGTTTAAACCAGGAAAGTTGACTGATATTCATTCTTTTACTATCAAGAAGTTCTGAATAACAACAGTAATTACTTTCCTGCTTCATGTTATTTTCCTTACGAGCATCTTATTGATGTGGCAAATTTAACAAAAAAGAATATTTTCTCAGTTCTGTATGCACTTTTTATTTAACATTATTCATATAATTCTTATTCTCTCTCTACTTTATTTATACGTATTGCAAAAATGAGAAGGAGATTATTGATATTTGCTCAGAACTTGGCATCCAGACATAATTCCTCCTTTCTTCCCTTGTTGGTTGCATAATTCTTAAGGTCAGCAGTTCCTTTATTAATTGCAGCTTCACAAGGTATTTAAATATCTGAGACCATTATTGTTGAATGGTTCCTTAGTAATTAACCAGGACCCAAATCAAACACAAGTTGTATTTATGGTTTTTGAAAATTTGTTCTCGAAGCCAAAGTGCTAATACCTTTTATATGAGAACAAAGACACAAGGGACACCACATATATGTCCAAATAAACACAACACTGGATTTCAGGAAAAGACATGTTCCGTTACTTTGAGTTCACACCATCATGAAAGGAGAACAGTGTTTATCCATGTGTAATGGAAACAAATCACCACACTTTGGGAAAGCTCTTTGAAGCAGAAACCAAACTTCTTTTACCTCCTTTCTCCCCGCTACCTTCCTCCCCCTCAAAAAAAAATAAAATAAAATAGAACAAAACAAGCATTTTGGTTCTTAAAATATATTTTTTTTTCTTTGAGGTTTCAAAGATTTTTCTTAATGCTGCCTTCAGAGGTTCAGGACTTCTGCTTTGGAAACCTGCAGCCTACTAGGGGAGATCAAAAAAGTATTCCATGAGCCTCAGTACCGTGTGTATAAATACTTACCACTATAAAATGTGTAGAATAGTTAACATGAGGATGTACATAGCATAGATATGCATTTTTATTTTAAAATTATTATGGAAAGTAAACTTTTAACTCTTTAATATATAAGGTTTGTTTAAATAGCGTTTCTAGGATACGTTGCTATTCTTATCCAGAAAGATCACAGGGATAATGTAAAATACAATAAATAATAGCTGTGAAGGCAGGAAGTATCTTCCCATGCTTTAATCAATTTGGGATTTTTAGTTAACACAAGAGACTCATGGTGGGACCTGGTTAGAGAGTGGCCCAGATCCATTAAAAGTTGGGTTGGTCGACTTTGGGGAAGGAACGTTTCTGTTATTTACTGGAACGTGGACTTCTGCAACTCACATTTTATATTTGTGCCTTAAATAGCCACCTTCCATATATGATTTGGTGGCCAGACTCAGGTTCTCCTATGACGATTTTGGTTAGTATTAAACCTCAGAACAGAATATAAGTTTTATAAGTCTTCATGTTGTTGAAATAATAATATGACTGCCATACATTGAATAGAAGTTATTAAATGAGAAGGAAAGTCCCAAAACAAAACGAAAATATTTTTTAATAAGAAGGCCTAAAAACAGAAACTGTAACATTAAATAAAATGACATAACTAAGGCCAAACATAGTTTTTATCAAAGTAAATGTAAAAGTGATGAAATAAGGTATTTTTTAAAATCTCAGACTATTTAAATATATAAAAAACAAATAACATTCTTCAGTACATTCATTAGAATATGTAGCCATCAAAAAAATAGAAGAATTACATGTATGTACAGAAGTTTGGGTATACCTATAGAAACAATCGAAAGCTATCAGTATTTTTTTTTTTTTCCTGTGGAATGGGATTGAGGGTTGAGAAAAGGTACTTAACACTTCATAACCCCCATGCCAACCACCTCATGTTTTTTAGCTTCTAATTCCCTTACCTGAGTACTAATAATTTTAGTACCCTAGAAATATACATTTACATGCACATATATCTATTTTGAGAATTTTAAGTAGAAATACATATATTGTTCCACAGTTTGACTTCTTTTTTAATGTTTGTCACATTTACTATTTTCTCTATTTCTTGTTATATATTTTTTTCCTTGGCCCATTTGAGAATACATTGCAGACATACCCTTTACCCTCCAGTACTAGATATGTACATCATGAGAATAAACATGCTAAGTACAGTTATCAAATTCAGGAACTTAGCATTCATAACTGCTTTCATCTACAGTCCCTATTCTAATTTAATTTATTCAATTAGTATGTATTTTTTCAGTTACAGGACCTAGTTCAGAATGATGTTACTTTCCCTGACTCTAATCTGAAACAGTTCTTTAGCCTGTCTTTGTCCTTTGTAGTATTGATGTATTTGAACAAGATAAGACAGTTAAAAGCATAGAACATCCCTCAGTTTGGGTTTTTCCAGTGTTTTCTTATGGTTAAAATCAGGTTATGCAGTGTAGGTTGAAATACTTACTATTAGTGATATGTCCTCTGTGTCACATCCAGACTCACAGAACGTCTTTTTGCCCCTTATTGGTGATGGTCACTTTGATCACTTCGGTAAAATGTTGCCAGTTTTCTCCACTGTATAGTTATTGTTTTTCCTTTGCAGTTAGTGGTTAATTTGTGAAAGGAAACTTGAGACCATGTTGATAATCTGTCTCTCATCAAATCTGTCCCTTGTAGATTAGCATCCTTTAATGATTCTTGAAAAAATTTTTACTGTGATGTTTACAAAATTGTGGTTTTCCGACTACATCATTCTTTGTGTATTAGCTTTCATTCTACTTTAAGGAAGAGATTTCCCTTTAACAGTATTGGTATCAATATAGAATAAATACTTTTTTCTGACCTTTTGTATGTTAGCCACAGATGTGAGGCCTCTTTACCTCTAATACTTAAGTGTTCATTTCCTAAGAACAAGGATATTTTCTAACATACCCACAGCACAATTATTAAAAGCAGAAAATTAACATTAATGTAATACTGTTATCTAATCTTTTCCATATTTCACTAGTTGTTCCAGTAATGGCCTTTGTAAAAAAAAAAAAAAAAAAAAAAAAAAACTGGACTAGGATCCAATCTAGGATAACCCATTGCATTTAGCTGTCATGTAACTAGTTTCCTTTAATCTAGAACAGTTCTTCAGTCTATCAAAAATCTCAAAGTCACTGAGCCATATAGTCCAGTTATTATATAGAATGTCCCTTAATCTGAGTTTTTTTTTTGACAATTCTTCACAATTAGATTGAGTTTATGCATTTTTGGCAGGAATGTCATAAAAATGATGTGTTCTTTTCAGTGCATCATATAGTGTCGGTTGTCCCATTTCAAGGTGTTAATTTTGATCATTTGTTTTAGGTGGCATCTGTTAGATTTCTTCACTATAAAGTTTGTATTTTTCTGTTAA